AATATATATATATGTGTATATATATATATATATATATATATATATATATATTCATGTATATAATTGTATATAATCTGTTCCGAGATATAGAAAGGCTTTTTTCAATTTCAAACTTTTCGAAAATTCAAACAAATTCAATTCAATATCAAATAAATAATCGCATGCGATATATATATTCTTTGCGCGTGACGCTAATCTTTCATATTTTTATTATTTGTATAAAATTATATGATAAAAATAATATAGACGTTTTGCGTTAATATTGGAAACTTTTGAATATCGATATGAAGATACGTATATTCCGATCTAGCTTCGCAAAAAAAAAAAATTGAAAAAATCGCATAAAGCGACGTTATCATACACGCACATAGCTGCAGTTATATCGCAAATAGAGTCATGGTTGAGAGAAAGAGGTAAAGAGTGGGGCCAACGATTTCCGAGCACGTTTGACAACGCGACAGCAGTGTCTGCTCCGCGTCGGATTGAGCAGAGATAATGCCGCCATTACGCGTATCTTGATTCCATCGGAAATTCATTTATCAGTGAACGCTCGACAAACAATTTGCGGTTATGGAATATATTTTTTTTATATAAAAAAAGCGTTGCGTACATTTTCCAATATGTAATGTAAAACATATATTCTTGGATCGCACATTCATCGTGATTTTATAATACGAGGCGTGAACTGCAGTAGTGACGTAGATCGCATGTGACGTAGTGACCGCGGTGCCATCCGCGTATCAGCACGGGAATCCGAGGCATCATTCTTTGAATTAAATACGGGAATATCATACGAAGGGCACAGTATATTAGTTCTTGTGACGGCTTTTCCATTCTTTTCTTTTTTTTGCTTCTTTTCACGGACGAAAACAGGCACTTTCCGCGATTCCACTTCCAAAGCACGTCGTCCTTCAACAACCGCGTGGCGTCATCGCTGAAGCCAGTATCTCTCTGACAGTGTCGTAGGATCAACGAAGATAATCGATAGTGGTGTGAAGCGAGTTCGCTCGTCGTATGGATTGTACTTTGTTCCCGCTTGAACAGCATCTCTGCAGCAAAAGGTGATAACGTGTCGAAAACCGCCAGGAGACCAGTGCGAATGAAACTTTTCTT